GCAGGTTTTTAAGATGTGTTTTATCATATTTATATCATATTTTTCATTTAAGCTTTGCTGGATGTTTAATATAATACTTTAGTATCATACAGACATTTTTCATATTTTACTGTGTTCTCTGGGACTTTAACTCTGGAGAATTTCATCTTCCTCCAGCTTTTTCCTGTCATGCCTTCTGCTGATGCCCCTCTGGGAAGGACAGCCCTTGTGATGCCTGTCTCTCTCTCTCTCTCTCTCTCTCTCTCTCTCTCTGCCAGACAAAGCAGGACTTGGACAAAAGAGAATGGTTTGTCAAACGCCTCCACACACAGATACATACATATACGGCAGCAGTGGCACAAGAAACCCTCACCCCTAAAAGCACACTGACCAAAGGACAGTGATGCACTGATTCTCTACCAGGATTTCGTCCCCCTTCTCCAGTGCAGGTGCTGGAGGTGCTGCAGGACCCAAGTGGTCCTCCACTGATTGCAGTGTAACTCAGTTCCAAGGGGCGAGGGGACACTCGAAAACAAGGGGTAGGGGTAAAAATAAGAAACGGGATTGGGTCTAAGTCCTGTCACTTGAGTCTCGATTCAAGTCCTGAGTCACTAAAGGCGAGTCCCAAGTCCTAATCTTCAAGCTCTAAACAAGTCAGTCTGCATTCTTCAGCTAATTTAAGGCCTTTTTAACAAAGAACACTAATAATGATGGCAGCAGTGAGAGCGACGGTTAATGACAGCGTGTTAGTGTGTGGCTGCCTGCTGCACCACTTAAGGTGGAAAGGGAAATTCCAATAAGAAGCTGGTGAATAAAAAGTCAACTTCAGCTTTGAGGTGAAATCTGTGCTGGTTTTAACTGCAGAAGCTGCTAAAATCGGTCAAATAGAGAGAGCCGTGTTTTGATTTGCTACCATGAGGAAAATGGTCAGTTTGCCTGATTAGTTTGTTCAGTAAGAGTTTAAGAGCTGAGCTGGGCTTCTTGATGCTACTGATGCTTCACCAGTTTCCAGCTTATGGAGGCGACTTAAACTCTAACACTTCACTTCTCTTCTGAAACAAAATAAACCGAGCATCAGCTCAGTGACGGACATCTGAGGACGCTGTTATACATCAAATTTACAGCAGGGACGTAACCAACTGCACAGCAGACGTCTCTCCACGTTTCTTCCACTTTGAGTCTCGAGTCTTTCTGAGTCACGAGGCTCAAGTCTGAGTCAAAGTCCGAGTACTTACTGTTAAAGTCAAAGTCGGGTCAAGTCTTTCTCGATTTTGTCGAGTCGGGTCTCAAGTCATCAAATTCATGACTTGAGACGGACTGGAGTCCAAGTCATATGACTCGAGTCCACATCTCTGATGACAGTAGCTCCTGTTCTTATTTGTCTAGCGCCCCCTGGAGTACTGACTGTTTTAACAGCCACAGCAACGTAAGAACACGAGGTGAATTCGTACAGAAGGACTGAATCTTTGCAGTGCACTGGTCAGGCATTATCGTTTGCATATTTGCGTGTTTGCATATTTGATTTTTTTTCTGGCCTGAAAGTTCAGTGTAGCCTTATTTAATCTTTGTTATTAGTGGTCAAAACTTTTTGACGTTTTCACTTCTAGCCAAAAAACAAAAGGACTATTTTTGACCGTTTTTGGCGGAAAATTGTCAACGACCAAAATTTTGGTGCAACCCTTTAAAAACGTCTGAAATATTTGCTAATGAAGCTGATGTGAAGCAGAATAGAATTAGAAAAATTACTCCTGAAAAGGGCTTTTATTCTAAGTTGCCACGTCAAGCTTTGTTAAGAGGGACTTTTATTTTGACACACATACTTTAGGTTTGCAAACAAACACACATTTCGTCCCCTTAAACAATTAAGCCTGCCTGTAATATTAGTGTGCATAATAGCTGTAAGCAGATCATTCAGCTCCATTAATGAGAGTTTGATATGTATCATGTTTTGAAATGAAACTCTGTTTCAATGCGACTGACCGACAGTGGCTTCGTCATCAATAGTGGCCCTGATACCTTTAATAAGGTCAGTATCAGTGCAGATCCAGCATATCGGATTGGGGCATCGCTACTGAAAGATGCTCTGAAGCTCACATGTGCATTTGTGCCGTGATGATGCACAGGCGGGCGGATGGACACACACACACACACACACACACACACACCATGAAAGGACAGTGAGTGCTGCAGATGGTCTCTTTTGTCAGTAAACAAATCTGTGCTACCCCCCCCCCAACTGCCCGTTGCAGTAACAGACTCAGACGCACACCGTCTCCTGTCCGTCAAACAGAGATTATAATTACAGTGACAGAGGGGCCCAGGGACTATTGATTCACAGCCACACTGACACAACCAACACACACACACACACACACACACACACACACACTCACTCACACTCTACTGACGCAGAGCAAAAGTGACGCAGCAAAGCGCCGCAAGGAAAGAGAGGTGGAGGGTAAAGCAGAATCACACGTCCCGCAGTTTGCTGTGCTCTTGTGTTGTATGCTTGTGCACAGACCGGGTGCTTGTGAATGTGTGTGTGTTATCAGTGCATTTGGTAAAATTACATAATTAGTGCTTTCCCTGCTTTAAAGAATGGCTTAAAAAATGTGATTTACACAGCGCCCCCCCCCTCACGGCCGATCAGCCAAGACATGTTTGGTGTCTTAGGCCCAGTCCCATTTCCTCTTTTTACCCCTACCCCTTGTTTGTCACCCTAACCCCCCTGAGTTACAGAGGGTAGTGGTTGAAATCTCCCCTACGAAATGGGACCCTCAAATTAAAAAAAACATCACTTCATTAACAGCTACCAGCGCTGCTCTGTAGGTGACCCTGCCAGTCTGCAGTGATGGCAGAGGAGGGTAAAGTTCAGCTCCTCACTGCTGGGCTTTAGTTACATTTAGGGAATCATATGCCTTCAAAGAGGGGGGCAATTATTTATTATCGCCCACCCCTAATTCTTCAGTGATATGAAGCTGAAGTCAGATATTCACCAGCTTCTTGTTTGTATTTTCCCGTTCCACCTTAAATGGTGCAGCAGTTACATTCTGGCGCTTCAGGCGTCAGAACTGCTGGGCTATTTAAGGTGGAATGGGAAAGTTAGCTAACTAGCTACCGAGACATTAGCATGCTATTAGCGATTTTTTTATGCTTGTTATGAAGAAAACGACCATAATACACTGAAACGACATTAAACTAAGATAATACAGTGATTATCGTAATTTTTTAACAGAGAAAATTCTCACATTTGTGGGTTTCTTTGGTCTCTTGTTCTCCATCTTGCTGGTTTTTCTTTTTTTCTCATAACTCTCTGTTTGGAGTCTCTGAAAAACCACCGTTTGGAGGGTCATGTAGCCCCAACACTTCACCCTACCCCTCTATATCAACAAGAATTGGGATATCCTAACCCTAGATGTGAACACGTAAAACAGAGGGCTAAGGGCTGAGTGGTAGGGGCGAGACGTGAAATGGGCTTGGGCCTAAATTTTGCTTCTAAAGAGCAACTACACTACTTGCTGCTGACTCCACCCCTGGCTCAACTTTGAAAAATGCTCAAAAATGGGAGGGGCACGCTGGGAGGGGCACTGCAGTGATGTTCGGGTTTGGAGCTGGGGCTGTGAGGGAAACCGGGCAGGCTGTGTTTTCAGAGCTAGCGTTTATTAAGCAATAGAACACTCGAGGTCGTGCGTTATCGCGTATAAAATCATGGCTGTAATGATATTTTGTGATAAGACACTCCCTCTCGTGTTCTATTGCTTAAATATCCTAGGCTTATTATTAACTAAGGCTTATTATTCAGTAACTACAGGGACTTCAGTGCGAACTGGTTGAGCTATTATAGAAGTGTGTAATAAAACCTTGGGCCTGCTGGCAGGAACTGCCCATTTAAGGGTTAACTACATTCAGTGTCTACCTAAAACATAAGAGATCTAAACATACATAGATGGCAAAAGTCATCATTCACTGTCAAAACTTGAAAATGAAAAAGCAAAACTAGAGAAATTCGTCCTTCTCCTGGGTGTCTACCTGTGACAGACCGATGAATGGCATCGGTAACGTTCTGGGGAGACGGCTGAAAGTTTTTCTTGTTTATTCTCACTAGAAAATAAAAGATTTATCTTTTGCTGGCTCAGCTCTTCCATCTCTTTCCCTTCAGACAGCTGGGATGATAGAAAACCTTACCCGTTTTGTTTTTTGTCGCTGTTATTACAGATAAGAACCACGCAGCTCACCTTATTTTTCATCTGTCATGATGATTTATTAACTAATGCTGTAAGAGCGGTGGCTCTATGAGAGCCGCTGTCGCTGCTGTCATTACCACCTTACCAGTGGTATGTCAACAATAGCGGCGGTGACGACTGTGATGTCAGTATCTAGTGTGTATCTAGTGTATCTGCATTGCTAACAAACACTAGAAGTCAATAGTCACCCAAATCTATTCAGTAAAAACACCCCCCGAAACGTCCCTCAACTCGCTGAGACTGCATCCAGGTCTTTAGCAAGGTTGTGCAGACTTGTCGATGTGGTTTAGGACACAGTTACATTTGCGATTTCTGATGTTTTTGAAGGGTTTCATTCCAAACCCCATGTTTATGAATTAAATGAGTATCAAACCTATATTATTGTTCTTTATTACAGAAATGACAGCATGTTTTTGAGTTTGAAGTGTGTTAAACACAGCTGTTATTCTTTTCAAACCTCTTTATATACACAATCGTTAAATAGGGAGGTACAGCGTGAAATTCACTTGGAATAAAACTTCGTTATTAAAAATCAAGACGAATATTTATCCATAAAAAGACGTGTGCATGCGACAGGGAGTCGGGCTTCAGTGCATCGACAAGTCTGTGCGACCTGGATGCTGTTTGAGTGGCCTAAATAAGCAGACTTCAGGCACCAAACCTGCCTCGGCTGACAGACTGCATTTGAGGTGAGGTGAAAACTGTACAAATATGATTTCTGGCTGAACTATCGCTTTAATACTGGTCATTTCCACAGCACTGTTTTACAGAACTCACCCAGACAGGCGGAGCCATTCTGATTGGGCTCATATCCTGCATCACACGTGCAGCCTCCTACAGGCACCATCCAATCACCCTCTGCGTTACAGTGCATCCGGGGCCCCGTCCCGCCTTGTGACTGGCTGTGAGGAACACAAGTCCCGCCCACAGGCACCAGCGCTGTCGGCTCCGCCCCTGAAGGCGTGGCTGGGTAAGAGGCCAGGAAACGACTTGTGGCTGGACAGCGGCGGTAAAATATGGACACGCCCATTAATGACACACATGCTCCACTGTCTACTATAGCAAGCACAAACCTGAGAGAGAGAGAGAGAGAGAGAGAGGAATGAAGGTTAGAAGATGGCTTGTGTCTCTCACAGGGTAACCATGGTGACGGCTAAATATCAAAAACCAAAATAACAATAAAAAACTAGAAAATTGCATTTCCTGAAGAGTGACAGCACAGCTTGCTAAGATGTTGCTAGGCGGTTGCTATTATATCCCAAATGGTTGCTAGGCTGTTGCTAGACAGTTGCTATGCTATCCAAGGTGGTTGTTATGGTATCACAATTGGTTGCTAAGGTGTTGATAGGTGGTTTCTAGGGTGCTGCTAAAAATAATGCATGGCCACATTGTATTAGGGTGTGAGAACGAGATTGTAAGGCGTGGAAATGAGATGATTAAATCGTGGCAACAACTTAGTAAGGTGTGGGAATGAGATCATGCCTTATTAAGCTGTGGTCAAGGATTAATTATCTCGTTCCCACACCTTACTAAGTTGCAGCCGCTCATTAGGATGTCATTCCCACGCCTTACGAAGTCATGGCCACAACTTAATTATCTCATTCCCACACCTTACTAAGTCATGGCCACAACTTAATTATCTCATTCCCACGCCTTACTAAGTCGTGGCCATGCATTAGGATATCATGCCCACGTATTTATACGGGATGTCACCAGCAAGGCTTCGTAGTGCTCTCTGTAGAGGATGTATTCATTTATTTAGGGAGTTTAAAAAATACACAGACTGGCCACTTCAATAAAACCACCTCCTTGTATCTCAACTCACTGTCCATTTTATCAGCTCCACTGACCATATAGGAGCACTTTGTAGTTCTACAATTACAGACCATACAATTAGAGACCATGCTGTCCATCTGTTTCTTTGTAACATGTCTTTTGGCCAGGGGTGCCCAAACATACATTTTGCATACAACTGTCTATTTTCCAAAATATTAATCCTACCACTGATTGCAAGAAGTACAAATGATGCTAGCGGAGGTGGTGGAGGAGGTGGTGGTGGTGGGTGTGTTATGAAAAAGTATCATTGAAAAATATGGGTCACTTGATAAAAAGGCTGAAAAGCAGTGGGCTAGAAAAAGCCACGCTAATGGGAGGACTGGCGAATTCCTTTTGTCTGCTTTTTCTTTTTCATATCCAGACTCTATTACTGCAAATATTAGCATTGGACGCCGCTGATATTTACTCAGTTGAATTGCTTTGGCTGTGCAGGGACGCTGCAGCCAGCTGAAACACACGGCCTCTAAACTCATCCCTGAACAGTGACCCGTCACATATGACCACTGGACCACGAGGGATGCTGCTGGGAAGGAAAGGAAAGGAGAGGAAAGGTCAAAGTGCGGTGGCTGCAGTACCCGCGGCGCGTCAGGGGGGCGAAGCTGCGGGTCTTGACGTTGATGCGGCGCATTCGGTCCGGTTTGTACTGGTGAGGAAGACTCGGCTCCACGCGGCTGAAGCTCTTATCAGCTGCGATGGTGTCTATTTTCACCCATCCCTCTCTGGTCTCACCACTGGAAGGCTAGAGAGAGAGAGAGAGAGAGAGAGAGAAAGAGAGAGACAACACATGTAAAGTGATGGTTTGGCCAAGAATCAGTATCATACACTATGCCCCGTTACCCCAAATGTGGTTGATCAGCAAAGACAGGTTTGGCGTCTGAAGTTTCCTTCTTTAGTTTTGCTCTGGAGCTGCTACGCTAATGTAGCTAACAAATGATGGAAGTTCATATTCCACCAATTAACGATGTGCTAACTGAGGGCCTGAATCACCAAACATTTGCCTCAAAGCATATTGACTTGATAAGTAATCCCAAATGGACTTGGCTATAGTTTTTGACACTATATGACACACTATTGTCTATAAGCACACAGAAAAGTATGTTGCATCGCTAAAAGCAGTAGTAGTCCAGTGGTCCCGCTATTTATATCTCCTGGCGGCCCACTGCTGCACAATTAGTGCTGCTGCTTCAGAGTTTGTGAATGATGAAATGTCACGAAGTTGCAATTACAAAACTCTGCAGAGGACTTTTAATTTGAAACAACGGTTACAGGTAGTGGACTAAGTCGAGTTGAGCCAAAGTGCCAGGCTACATTTAGCAAGCTGTAGTTAGTGAATTGGCTGACTTAGCACACCATGAGGGAGTTGCGTTGACCTTATTATGGTGGCGCATCGCATAAACTACATTCACTCACTAAGGGTACGACCTCAAACTCTACTGCACAGCCATACCGACCTGCACTCCTCTATGTGCCATTTTTCATCCCTCATTCCTCCCAAAGAGTCCCATTCATTTTCGCCCAAAACCCCAGCCCTGTTTTTACCTTTGCCTAACAGACCCAAAATGCATTTACTCACTCAGGGCAGCTCCTCAAGCTCTAATCCACAGCCATACTGACCCGCACTCCTCTGTGTGTCGTTTTTTCATCCCTCGTTTCTCACATAGACTTCTATTCATTTTCAACAACACATGGCTAACACCTGGTCACTCCCTACGAACAACTAAATAAGCACCTCATACACCATGGTAACTGCCTAGCAACACCTTAGCAACCACCTGGGATTCCATAGTAACCACGCAGCAACAACCTAGCAGGAAGTGGGAACCATTTAAGCTGCTCAACCGTCCTGTGTTTCCTTTAGGAAATGCATGTTTCTAGTTTTGCAATGTTGTTGGGCTCAGTTTTACATTTTGCTGTCAGTGGTGGTCTGAAATATGAATAAAGTGGGTCAAAAGGAGCTGTTTATCAGTTTCTTTCTTTATTCTGTGCAAACCTGGCTACTCGCTTGTTGTAATGTGTTATTGCTGGCCAGCTAGCCAGTTAAGGATGATATATCCTGTTTGTTTACAACTTTATGGTGAGAAAATGTACTAAATAAATCAGGTAAGACTGACGGCCTGAGTCTGATCTTCGGTGGCTCAGCAGTAAAGAAAAGAAGCTGAAGTGGGGGGCCTGTCTTGGAGGGGGTTGATCTTGACCCAGTCCGGAGGGGTAGAAGGGGGATGATGTCTGGCCTGCAAACGCTGCTGAAAATAATCCTAGAGTAAACACTGTAGTAGTACCTGAGTTTTGTCAGCACTTTTGTCCATTTTTCTATAATAGTATACTGTCCTGCTACTGGCTCCCACAGCAGTGCGGGAGGCGTGGCCATGCAGGGTCGAGCCATCCTGGTGGTGTCCAATAGTCACTAAGGGTAATGGTTTTCTGTTTTCCTGATGGTTTCAAATCAGAATCTAAAATATTTTAATGGTGTAACAGGTGTTCTAGGACTGACTTCAGAAGCATTTGGTGGTTTTCTAATGGGATCTAAAGATGTCCTACAGGAAATGAGCGATCTCTAATGGTAACCACCTAGCCAATTTCCATTCGAAAGAAAATCTTGGCTGATGAATAGCGTTGCCAAACTACTGCTTCAACATATTAAACAAAGCCAAACAGCTGCCTAAACCCTACCTTGGGAATAAAGCCAAAGGCAAAGGCCACATATTTAATCCCCTTGTTGTGAGGTCAGCCCCCCTCAGCACTCAGACCTTCTAGGTGTTTAAACCTTTGGATCAAAATAGTTTAATATGTGCTTTTGACAACAGTTTGAACAGAAAGTTGTCAGATCATTATTTAGGTAAAAAACCAAGTCTCTTCATACCAAGGAAGACACTTTGATGAACATGTAGCTTAACACTGAAGCTAAATATACCCAAAGGATTAGCTCAGAGCTGCTTTATGCTTACAGACCCTTTGCAGGCGTTTGAAAAGTAGCGTGGAAATAAAATCTTATTTTCAACAATTGCGAAAGAAGCTAATAGTAGTGAGCGATAAGCAGTGGGTATACCGGTGGAAATTCTTTTTAAGGTATTAGTTTAGTCATTACCGTTATAATGGAATGCAAATAAAAGCACATAACGCAGCATGCAAATAGTGCAAAACACGCTGATTTCCTCATCTGTCGTGTAGTGAGTTGCAGTAAGTTATTCCAGTTTATTGTCAAAAGAGCAACATCAGATTGTAATGAGTTAATGAGTTAAAGGGGGTAAAGAGAGTGGAAGGAAAAGCCAGTCTCTTGGGGTTGGCTGTTAGCCATATGCCTAGCATGCAGACTAGCCAGCTTTTCATGTGCACCACCTGTGGTGCTCCTCGCTCAGCCAGCTGCTTCAGGCGATGCCACGGTCTAGGCCTACAATCTGAGAGGCTCCTCAGCTTCTCAGCTAAAATTGATGGTGTGAACGGCTGTAATATTTACTAAATTCAAGCAGCGTAGATTAAAGCTTGAGTGTAAGAAATGCACATGACTTTCGGACATAAAACAATATTTAGCACTGTTTAGAGAAGCCACTGTGGGCTTTGCAGCCACTCGCCTTTATCTTGTTAGGGTTCGAATGAAATACTGACATCTGTCTACATATTGATTATTTCTGTTTTTAATGTTTTGCCCAATAAAAATATTTAAGATTTACTTCAGTTATTAAATATGTTTTTTATTAAAAGTGAAGGGACATCCAAAAATAATACACCACTGGTAATCTACAAAAAAGGTTTACTTAAGCATCCAAAATGTTTTTTATTTGAAAGTAACCAGATGTTGCTGAAGACATCATACTAAATGGGGCTAAATATTTTGCAATTCTCATTTTCATTGTAGGCTTGAAAATGATGAGAGAGGGAAAACAGGAGACGAAAGTCTCAGTACAGAGCAACAGTGATTTGTTTAACTAGAATTTAGAGCGTTCTGCAGGCCGACAGCATTCACCTGATCCTCTCCCACTGCTGAGCTTTCATTTGCATTTTTAAATCCAAGTTTCCTCCCCCTGAGGAGAGCTATATTAAACCACACACACTCCTGAGACTCCCCATGCGACAGCCTCTGAAAACATGACTTCAAAAAGCTTAAAACAAAAATGACCTCGGAGCTGAACCCTGTGGAACTCCAAATCCCATGGGGAGCCTCTGAACTTAGCAAAGTGTGATGGAGGGTTGCAGGTTTGTGGTTCCAGTGATCTGTGCTAATAGCACTTAAATGTCAAAACATGGCCAAATAATGTTGGTCGGGAGGTCCCCAAATGGCAATGAAAATAGGAATTCCCATCCCTAAGGCTGATTTTTCGTGCGGTATACTGCTGCAGGAGACTGAAATGGGCAGTTTAATCTAGAAATGAACAGGGTTGGAATGCAATGGGATACAAGTATTGGGAATATACATTTGGAATACAGGAACTGAGTATCTGTAGTCAGTCCAAGGCAGCATTCAGAATGCAGCTACCTTTTAAATTGTTTAGAATATTTTTAGAATAGTTTTAGAATATATATACCACTATCAGTTCTTAATCATTAACTATTTTAAAATCCATAACCAGCATGTAGCAAACATACACATCAAACAAACTCTAAGGAGGAGCTCAATTAAGGGCTTCTTTAAAACACTGAAGTTCCTGCTAAAGCCTGAGTAGACTGATAAATCAATGTGATGATCAGTTATTGATCTCAGTGTTACTGAGCTCTGCTAAAGCCTGAGTAGACTGATAAATCAATGTGATGATCAGTTATTAATCTCAGTGTTACTGAGCTCTGCTAAAGCCTGAGTAGACTGATAAATCAATGTGATGATCAGTTATTAATCTCAGTGTTACTGAGCTCTGCTAAAGCCTGAGTAGACTGATAAATCAATGTGATGATCAGTTATTAATCTCAGTGTTACTGAGCTCTGCTAAAGCCTGAGTAGACTGATCAATCAATGTGATCAGTTATTAATCTCAGTGTTACTGAGCTCTGCTAAAGCCTGAGTAGACTGATCAATCAATGTGATCAGTTATTAATCTCAGTGTTACTCAGCTCTGCTAAAGCCTGAGTAGACTGATAAATCAAGATGATGAGGCAGTTATCAATATTAGTGTTACTGATCAATTTCAAGAGATGATTAGACTAATTAGTAGTGGACATGTCTGTGAGTGATATGTTAAGCATCAGTGTTGCACTTGACTCGAGCTCAGGGGATTGTGGGAGAAGCAGCGGACTAAAGCAGGTGGTGAATCAGACAGGATCAGAATCAGACAATATTTGCGGCTGGTACAGTACAGCCAACTACACATGTGCTGCATTCAAAACATGTTGTCATCTCATGACAACACTGATGCTAATTCATAGGGTATAAGCTTCTTTTACTTCATAGCTTCATAGCTCCAGCACAAAACTAAAGAAGACTGCAAACTTCAAACACCAAACAGTCTTGACTGACTGACGACAAAGGTTTCTAGAAAATTCTGTAAATCCACACACATTAATTCTTCCATTCTTGAAGGATAGCATCATTTATCATTCCTTACTTCCTTCTGTCAAGAATGCAGGGGAGGACCCTTCGCAGTAGGATTGCTCCTCCGGAATATTTGCACATAGTGTGGTTGCGGAAATATCATACTTAATATTCTGTCAGTAAACTCATGATCAGATACTAAGCTGCGTAATCATTTGATTTTATAGATTTGGTTTATTCTTGTAGTCTCTGAGATATTCTTATGTAATACAATGACGCAAGTGAGACCTAAAATGTGCTGTTTACGGATGAGAACAGGAAATTAATCCCATCTAAGCATAACAGGCTACAGTAAGCTTTCGAATATGTGTTTTTGTCATCCCTCTTCATGTACTGCAGTTATAGTAGTTATCGTGTGCTATGTGGATTCTGTAGCTGTGGGGTTTCATTCCTTTTCATAATTAACTTAAGTAAATGTCTGAGTACCCAACTCCAGAATGACTGGCTCAACCTTATCCTACAGCAAACATGGTTTCAGATTAGCTGCTTTACTCAGTAGGCCTGTGTTTGTTAAATCTTTCTCATGTGTCGTTGCTTACATTAACCTGATTTATACAACAGTTCTGGCCACGCAAGCTGATTGGTTGAGAAGCGTTCTTTTTCACGAACACTATATCACTCCGCCGAGACGCCGTTGCTAAGCAACGACTTTGACAGCTGTAGGAGACGCTCAAACCATTTGAACGTTTTTACTTCTTACTTTGCCACAAACAGAAAATGGACACTTTTAAGATCACATTTGACCGACAGCCGATTTGGTCAGACTCTGAAGATGAGACGACACTAAATTCCCAAACTGTCATCACCACTGAGCAGCTTTTCAGTCGGCAGCTGTGACAGAAGAACAGCTAAACAACCTGGAATCAGCCAGAAATTAACCCAACACCATTCGCCAAACTAAATGGGCTGTAAGATGCTTTACAGACTGGCTGGAACAAAACAACGTTAATACTGATCTGGCAAAAAATGAACAAAACTGAGCTGAACCTGATATTGTAGCAGTTTTATGGCTCAGTCCGTTCTTCAAAAGGCGGGGCTTACAGCAGACCGTGCAGCGAGTGAGCTTCAGAGTTTTCTGATTATTCAAATGTATGTAAACAGAACACTCTGATTTCTTAGATCGGAGTAAGGTCTAGAAATCCGATTAAGAAATCCGATAAAGAGGCTGGATTTTAGCTCAGTAATCAGATTTCTCAGTGCATGTGAACTCTTACTCTGATTTCTTTCGGATGTCTCAGTCTGCGCATGTGTGAAAACAGACGGCGGTACCAGAAATAAGTGAGCAGCGCCGTCGCGAGACGCAGCGAAACACTTTTGGATCGACGCTGAAACCAAATACATGACGAAATGAAGGACAGAAATATTCTTCATCCTCTAGATAATGTATGTTTACATTTTCAGGTAAATTGATGCAATGTTTTTTTTAAAACAAAGCTGAAGCATGAAGTTTGAGTTTTACATTATGTATACATCACATTTTCTTCTGTGAGTTTATTGGCTGGTTGCAAAAAACCAAAAAATCTGATCACTGTCTGACTCATGTAGACCCGGAGTTTCCCCATGATCTGATTACCTGCAGTTTATCTGATTTTCTGTAGATATTGGATTATTAAGTGCGTGTAAACACACTCAATGGTTCTATATAGCACTTTTTCAAGCCTGACTAATGCTTAATGGGAAATGTAGTTCATGCAACATACAAACATCATAAAAGCATGGAGGTTACATTCTGTCCACGCAACAACTCCCATGGATTACTGCTTCATTCTTGGCAGCACCTCACATGGGAAGAGGCTGCGGCGAGACAGAAGACTGCCAGAGAATCAGGGTGTGGGTGTGTCGTACGAGTCGCCAAGAGACTAGCACACATACAGCTTTATGAAGTGCCAATTTTGGGCACCAATACAGAATAACTAGAAATTATGTGGGTAAGGAGCAACCAGTAAACTCATTACGCATCTTTTGGCTGTGTGGCTGTGTATGAAACTGTCGTATTCACTATAATGCGCACTATAGATAGTATTCGATTGATGTCACACTTGTCGCTGCCACCATATTGTTGATATACCACAAAAATGTCAACACAGAGATGACGGCGGTGCTCATAAAGCCACCATTTTTACTGTCCACCGTCATTGTCCACTTTATCAGGTCCACTGACCATATAGTTTCACTTTGTAGTTCTACAGTTACAGACTGTAGTCCATCTGTTTCTCTGCATACTTTGTCACTCTGTTCTTCAGTGGTCAGGACCCCCATGGACCCTCACAGAGCAGGTACTGTTTGGGTGGTGGATTATTCTCCACACTGCAGTAACACTGATGTGGTGGTGGTGTGTTAGTGTGTGTTGCGCTGGTGCGAGTGGATCAGACACAGCAGTGCTGCTGGAGTTTATAAACACCTCAGTGTCGCTGCTGGACTGAGAACCAAAAGTATCCAGTCAACAGCGTCCTGTGGGCAGCGTCCTGTGACCACTGATGAAGGACTAGAGGATGACCAACACAAACTGTGCAGCAGCAGATGAGCTATCGTCTCTGACTTTACATCTACAAGGTGGACTGACAAGGTAGGAGTGTCTAATAGATATATCTGCTCTGTGAGGGTCCTATGGGGGTCCTGACCTTTGAAGAACAGGGTAACAAAGTATGCAGCAAAACAGATGGACTACAGTCTGTAACTGTTGATATTTCCAGGTTTTGCGAATACTTTCTATTTTGGGAGCCATTTCTTAGAGGACATGCCGCAAAGCACCACAACAGATGTACAAGCAATGCCCCGTAATGGACACAGAATGTCATGGGCACTCTGCTGTCGCAGAGTGATGAGCAACACTAGCATTCTCACATTACTCACATTTAAAAGTCCATTTAAACAAAGAAGAAACCAAAAATGCTTTGGTCACTTGGTCATTTTTTCCGCTGCACATTCGAAAACAAGAAATGACTCAAACAGGAACCAGTTGAACTTACGGTTTGAGTTCAGGTTCATTTACCACTTTTGTGAGACAGATACAGGGAGATTCACTTGAAAGAGGCCCCGAATATTCTGTTGTAACTCCCATTAGGGTGAAGCAATCTGAACCAAAAATACGCTACATACTAGACGTATGTGTAATCAATTGCATTACATGCGATGCGGGAAGTGATCTCTGTTTTCTGCCAGATACATGAAGGGGTATGGGGGTCTGCACCCGGAAGTTGCAAATGGAGGTTTAATGTTGTGACGGCTGTCCGGAGCCTACCTCATCGCTCCGACGCAGGGGCATCCCAGCTTGTTCGAAGCTCCATATACTGAGGAGCTCATTGCATGTTGTTTTGTTCAGATTGCTTCATCCTAGAGAGAGTTTTTACAGAATATTTGGGGCCTCCTTCGAGTGAATCTCCCTGTAGAACCATAATAATAATCTAAATTAACTCTTTGGTCACTGGCCACTCTAAAGCGTCTAGTTACCTTGCTTGCTTGCAAATGGTTCTATATAGCACCAAACAGTATTCTTCTACTGTTACAGACGTGACATCGTAACAAAAGCAGAACCCTTTTTGATGCTATATTGAACACTTTTTGAAAAGGTTCTATATAGAACCATCTACAGCACATTCCCAAAACCATTTCACCCTGCAAAGAACTCTTTAATCAGACACAGCATTCTTTGAGTGTTCATGGTTCTATATAGAAGCATTTTCTTTACTAAAGAACCCTTAAAGAACCATCTTTTTTAAGTGTGTAGGTTAATAAAATAATGTTGCATTTTTACACTGGAAAATGTGTGAAATGCCAGGTGCTTGAATAAATCATGTTTTGTGTGTTACAGCCTTTAAGAGAAATTATCAAATGATAATTTTACCTCTCGAGTATTTTAGTGATGAAATTTTAGTCATTACCATTTAGTTAATTCCTTTTTTGGGTTTAATTTCATTGTCATGTTGGTGACGGCATCTGGACTGCTTTCGCTGTTGCTCACACCTCTCATTAGACACGTTTACATGCAGCCTAATAATCCGTTAATAATCCGACTAATAGCTTAAATGGAATAGAATACGTCAATGTAAACACTTCAATCGGAATAGTCTAGTCTGATTGAGGCCATTCGGAATACAGTTTCTATGTGATTGATCGAGGTGGGCAATCCTGTAAATAATCTGTTAAATAGAAGAATAATATCCGTGTAAACGCCTGTATCTGATTACATTCCCTATCGGAAAGTTTCAGTCCGTTCTGATCATGTTCGTCACGTCATAGTGAGAGTTTATACCGTTCAACATGGCGGAGCAGAAACTGGTCTGCAGAGGAGACGAAGTTTATGCTCTGATCTTTAAAAGATGGCGGTGGGACGGACGTCCAGCTTATGTGTCTCAGAACACGACGTCTTCCTCTCGGCCTTCTTTAATAAGGACATGTGAAGGACGTTTTCCTGAGTCTGACATCATTTTAAAGTAATTAAAAACACAAGCGCTGCTCACTGCTGCTCGTCTCACTCTGACTGGACTCACGTGATGCTTGTTGTCATGGCAACATCTATACTAAGCGGTTCTCTACGCATGTGTGTAATTGTGGATCTGATTACTTGTAGTGAGCATGTAAACAGAGATTTTCATCAGATTGTTGAGTAGAGTGAGAATAAACACCTCAGTCTTATTCTGTAATCAGAATGTATTCAATCGGATTGGCGAAAATCTTTGCATGTAAACACAGCCAGTTTGGAATTTTAGCATTTCATGTTAGACCAAAAGGAGCCAAAAAGAAAAGACTAGGGCAAAACAGTTTTCAGCTCCTATGCTGAGAGATTCTAGATGTACTAAGGACTCCTACTGCAGTTTTTTGAGTTATTCAGCACTCCAGGAGTTTTTTGGATGTCAGACTTCTGTAGTTCTCCTCACGTTGCTTTTGGATGGGCTACTTTTGCTTCCACTCCAGTCACCACTTCGCTGCAGTAGCAGCACTTTTACATGAGTATGGGTTTAGGATCATAGTAGTCACTGAATAATAAGTCTTAAAACCCTGAATGATGAGCTTAGAGTTTGAGGTGTTGAGAAAGGCTTTGTGGTAAATGTAGTGGTGTGTCCCTCACCTCAGCGGCCCAGGTTCTCTCCAGCTCTCTCTGGGAGTCCGCCTGTTTATAGTACAGCGTCAGCGTCTCTCGGCAGGTCGGAGAGGGCGAGCGCAGACTGGAGCAGTCGCGGACAGAAAAACGCAACGTGACAAAGATCCTCGGGGCCTCCTGGCGGAGCAGGAAGGGCGTGGCCAGCCAGTTGTCCTGCACACGGGTGTTCTGATTGACGTTACACACTTCAAAGGTCCGGATGAGTCTCCCCTTATCGTCCAGCACGCTCACTTCATCCCACTGAAGGCAGGGAGGAAGGGTATGAGGAGAGCCGAGGAGAGAAAGGAGAAAAAGTGTCATTAGATGAGGGTGATCAGACAGGAAGATTAGACCGTCAGCACTATATGACTGGCCTCTCCATGCTCCGCCTACTAAAGCTTTCGCTCGTAGTTACTGTTGCTACATTGGACAAGCTTTACAGAGCACTGTTAACCCCTTAAATGACCAGGGCCCAAAGTTTTATTACACACTTCTATAACCTAAGAATAGCTCAGCCAGTTTGCACTGGTAGTTACTGAATAATAAGCACACTAAGAAATTACAGCTTACAACTCATTTTTCAAATTAACAAATTAATTACTTTATGTCAAATTATTTTTGCATGCATGTGAAGTTTTGTCGTGTGATCAAGGGTTTGAGGGATCAACATGTAATTCAACGGCTAAGCTGAAAGTCCTTCAGCTACAGTTTTAAATTAGCCAGGTGGCTGAGTTTTCTTATGTAGCCCCAAAACTGTGGAATCATCTCCCAACCTCTGTTCGGGACTCAGACACACTCTCCACATTTAAAACTAGACTCAAAACTAACCTGTTTGCACAAGCATTTTGCTGATATCAGTTGTTTGCACTATTACTCTCTAATATCTCTCCATAAACTGACCTGTCCTGTTAATCAATTTCTCTCTCTCTCTCTCTCTCTCTCTCTCTCTCTCTCTCTCCCTTAATTAGAGCCCCTGAGCAACGTTTGCCTGAGTTGCCACATGGGATCCACCAGAGCTGCTAGAGTCACCACCAGAGTTTCAACCACCATGGAGATCTCATTGTGCAAATCCCACCTGCATGAACTGACATTAGCTAGAGAGCCAACTATTTTTAAGAGCTTTAAGAAACTTCATAGAGTATTTGTTTGTTATTTTCTTTGACATATTTCTATTAAGAATTTTAAAACAACCACAACAGTATAAGCTACGTTATTTTTACTATGCATAGCTAATACAGGTGTTGATCGTAATACAGTTTTATATCCCTGAAGTCCTTTTTGTAGATGGTCATTAAGAGCTGGCAGAAGGCCAACAGAAGGCCAGCCAGATCAGCCAGATTTTCACAAGTTTAAACAAAAAAAATGAACTCACTGATTCTTGAGTTGCTGTAAATCCGAGTTTAATGAAATAACATTGCTAAACACAGGAGAGGAGAGAGAGAGAGAAGCTGAAGGAGACTGACAGAGTTTAAGACAGGGGCGTCCCTGGAGATTTATGGATGGGGGGGCTAAATATTTACTAAGGGGGTCTGGGAGCATGCTCACCCAAGAGGATGTTTTTAATGACCCCAAAATGTCTGATCATCAACTGTTAAACAGCAATAGATGAAAAATTGATCAAAAAGAACGAAGAGCGATTTTGGTCAAGTTGGCACACAGCATAGTGTGATACAGAAACAGGCCCACAGACTTTAACAGAGACCACGTGCACATGCTTCCTAGGCACCTATGAAACTACAAAAGACTGCCGTTGTGGGCAGAACCATGGATAAATCCGTTTCAGTCGCCTTCATGAAGAACGCAAATTCATGAAATTACGTTTTTTGCTGTATTTCTTTTTCGTGTGTCACAATGAGGAGAGGACTATATGTTATGAGTTTGGTTCATGTCTGTCGCCATATGATCTTAGATCTCTGTAAAAAATTTAATTCGCCACTTTCCCCCCACCGTCGCGAGGAAGAAAACAGGCAGACTGGAGCAGAGGGATGAGTCCACCCCAGCCCGTTCACTGATGTGATGTAATCTGAGCTGAAAATTCCAGAAATACACCAAATCTTTGCACAAAAACACACGAGGGTGGAGAGTAACTACTGCACTGGGTGAGAGTGAGACAGATAGAAGAATGGCGGTCTGTGAAAGAGAAAGGGATGCTGGCTCAAGAACATGGCTGAAATGGATAAATGATTAAAATTAGAGGACACTGAATCTGTGAGTTAGGGTGAAAATGGACGGATGGGCTCAGCAGACTGAGAAAGAGGGTGAAAGAGTCTGAAAAGCACAGATGGACAGATCACCAGACAGGCAGAGCGAATGAGAAAAGGGACAGGATGAGGAGAGGTGGGGCAGATGGGTGAATGGATGTGTGAGGAGTATGGGCAAAAAAGATGCACCAGTTACTCTGAAAGTGATTCAACTGGTGCATCAGAATTAATTATAATAAAATATAATAAAGCGATACGCCACGAGAGGCCCTGCATTACTTTGTCACGGGGAAGGGTGTTCTTAGGCACGGAGTAAAACCCCCTTCCTGTGATAAAATCACTGTAACGCACCGCCTCAAGTGGCTTACAGCTTTTATAAAACGGCAGCCAAAATGAAATATGATAAAATATACAATTTTCAGAGGATAATTTAAGTTATTATTAATAATAATCAACATGAACAAGTATTCCGCCAAGAAATTTAGTTCCTTTAGAGTATGGTATCGTTCTCCCACTGGGGCTCCCTGCTCCCTACATAGTGCACTACGTAGGAATTTAAATATTGGCTCCTGCAGCCCAACAGAGAATAATATAGCAAAAAATAGTCATTTGTGATTCATTCTCATCCATACTCGACAAATAGTGCCCTATTTGGCTGTAGAAGCTAGAATTTCAAAACTTCCCTAGCACACTATTTAGGGAATACAGAGCTGGTTGGGATTCAGTCTGAGTTTGGTGATACTTCTGACTAAAACATGGACATTTGTAGTGTGTAAGACATTCAAGTGACATTTTTTGGACATTTATATTGCGGTTTTACAATGAATCACATCGTAAGTGCTTTAATTCAAGCTTATAACATTAATGATGGAGCTGTTTAGCATGTTTGCTCTCTTTTAGCCTGTTAGTTAGCTGACCAGTCCAGTTCTAGCTAAGAACATAAGCTGTCAGCCCCTCAGTTTGAATAGAAACAGGTTCTTACTTCATCAGTGCACCATGAGAGTCAAAGAATAATCCATTAACAGCACAAGGGTTTTTCCTGACATGGCAAAGTGATACAGTGTTCAGTTGTTGTGAGGCAGTTGGTGAACATATATCAAGTATTTTACATTTTAGGACTTTCCGTTTTATAATATTCAAAAAGAATTTTTGCCAAACTAAAATTCTCAGTCCATTACCAAACACAAAATATTTTTGTGATATTTCATTATGTATTAAATAGTTACCTCAAGAATCTGGATTTTTAATTTTAGTGCTCCTGAACGGAGCAGAATTTTATTTACAACTTCCTGAGTATGACACTCTCCGTTAGTCAGAAATGCATAACAGAAATCACACGTCCACTAAGATAAAAGACATTCTGGCTCAGTTTCCTGGACATTAAGCCTAGTATTAGAGCAGCCTGCAGTGTCAGTGGTGAATCACCATTGGAAATTCTTTTTAGTCTAGGCGTCGGCTTAATCTGGGCTGGGAAACTGGCTCTATAAAGCTCTAATAATCCTGGAAGGCACATTGCAAAAGCAGTGATATTACCACAGCCGAAATGAGCACTTATAAACTCACAATGCACAGTCCGTGAGACTTCTCTGTGGTGAGCCAAGTAGTACATTTGTATTAATGCAATTTATTTTTGTTTACTTATTTGTTAAAATTCTTAATATAAATCAATTAACACAGTATTTCTTGTATAATCCTTAATTACTGAGGTAAATCTAGTTAAGATCAGTTAATGTGGATGAATCCTACAGACCGATGAGTCTTTTGACCAAAAAGCTTCCCAGCTTTCTTAGCGGTTTTGTTGGTTTTTGTTAATTCACTCTTATTTTTATTTATTTATATCTACAATTCTCTTTGCAAAAGGTCATTTTGCATCAGAGCAAACTCTCATGTTAAATTCTCACCATGATGGTGTTTTGTGTTCAGGTTTATCAGTTCAGCCAGTCACAGTGAATTCTAAAAGAATGGCAAACATGCATTAGGCTATTACCCTGCGTTCACACCGGCAGCGACTGTTTTTTTCTGGTTGCCCAAATCAGAACTTGAGCAGGCAGTTGGTTGCCACGGTTTTACTGCTGAAAGCACAAATCAGAGAGCGTTCTCACAAAAAATACAAATCCATGGCTCCTGAGTGGTGTAACCGTCTAAGTGTTGGCCCCATCATCAGGAGATTACAAGTTCGATCCTTGGTGATGCTACAGCCGTCCGTAGCCGGGAGTCCAAGAGAGCACAATGGGCCTCGCTCTCTCTGAGTGGGCAGGCTGGCCCCCTCGTTTCCCGCCCATCACTCAGTACGATGCTAGTCAGCGCAGGAGTCTCTTAGCTGACATAACAGAACTGGTGGTTATTGTTCTCCTCCGAGCGCGTTCAGCTGTCCAGTGATGCTGCGTTAGCGGCAGTTCGAAAAGATGCGGTCGCGCTTCACAGGTCTCAGAGGAAGCCTGTGTTTGCCTTCACCCTCCAAGTGCTGGTAGTATTGTGTGCTTGGGGGAGTCCTAACTAGTGGGTGGAACTGGATACGACTAAATTGGGGGAAAAAAATTAAGAAAGATATGAACCCTAGAGAGACGTTGCTTTTCTACAAATTTAATCCCTGCGTAGTGCATCACTGCCTGTGCAGTCAGTATGTGAAGAAAACAGTGTTCGGTCTTTGCGATCAGCATCTATTTGCACCAAAAGCAGCGCCACAGTTCCTTAATCTCTAGTAGGAGCAAATATCTCATAACCAAAAAAGGCACCATGGCAGTGATAAAGCACATACCACCCTGCTCAATTCACCACATCGCTTCACTCCTAATTTGCATAAAGTAATCCTAACTGTGACACGTTTCTGACTCCGCCCACTTTGTGACGCCAACGTTTGTGCTGCCTGCCGTCGCCGGAAATCGCTAACTTTCATTAAAAATGAATGAATTCGGGCCACTTTGTAGCATCGCGTCGCTGCCGGTGTGAACGCAGGATTAGAGTAAGCCATTTTTTCGTTACTGTACAAAACAGTTCATTTCATTTAATGGACTTGTTTAATTAATGCCAATACTTTACCCAAGGAAGAATTCAAGAGTAAGCTGAACTTGTAAAAGTAGAGCACTGCCAGCTCGGTGGAATCCACTTATAATTACTGGGCTGTGTGTCAAATTCGATGTTTCTATATATGTTTCTCTGTCTTTGTGATGATCCAGCTCAGAAATCCAGTTCAAACATTTCCTGAACTGGTAGAGTCACCCTTTCCATTCCACCTCATTTAGAGATCATACGAGACTCACATCCAGAGTTATGAGCCTATGAAGAGGGGCTGAGATACACGTTGTACGCATCGGAGACTCATGTGAAAAGCGTGAAGAGAGTTTACAGCTGCTGAAGCTGCTGCAGCGGCTTTGGAAAGTAGTGATGAAGATAACGGAGCATTTTGATATTAAACAAATGAGGATCATGTACTATGAAGAGCCTTTAAAGTAGAATTTAAGAAAATGTGCACAAATCGAGACTCCAGAAGGTTAAGCTTACTTGCTGCAGAAGTGTGGATCACTGAAAATCAGAAAGTAACTATAACTCATATACAAACATATTTAAGCTGGAGCCTGTTCAGTAACTTTACTTAATTTTTTAGAGGCAATAAGTTTATGTGATTTTTTTTCAAGTAATATCAACTAATTTAAGTTTACAGTGATAGCTATCTGCATGGAACAGTATTGAGAGAAAACAAAAACATACTTTCCTGCAGGGTTTGTCTTTAAAAAAACAGTTCACATCACATAAAAACGACAGCAAGCATCTTTTCCGCAAATGTGATTTGTGGTTTACAGCACTGAGTAAGGCTCCTCTTGGTCTAACAAAACAGACAGGCGATATAAGATTTAAAGAGACTCTTTTAGAACAAGGCCCAATCCAATTTCACCCCTCGCCCCTGCCACTTAGCCCTTACCCCTCCATTTTGCACGTTCACCCTAGGGGTAGGGTGTCCTGATTTTTGTTGAGATAGAGTCACTGCAGACTGGCAGGGTCGCCTACAGAGCACCGCTAGTAGCTGTTAATGAAGTAATGCTCTTTTTTATTTAAGGGCCCCATTTCAGAGGGAAGATTTCAACCACTACCCCTGTAACTCAGTTCTAAGGGGTTAGGCTGACACTCGAAAACAAGGGGTAGGGTTAAAAATAAGAAATGGGATTGGTCCTAACAGTAGCAGCACTCAGGAGTCATTATGTTAATTAATGTAAACTTAATCTGATACCACGATGTTGGTATATTTAAATTTTACATTACTATCATCCAGCATTAATCTAGACAGACAGAGAGACGCAGAGACAGAGGGAGGGAGAGAGGGAAAAGAAGAGGAAAGTAGAGTAGCAGGAGGAGTACTGGGCTGCTCTAGCGCTTTCTTCTGTAGGTCAGGGGCGCCGAGACGCTCCGGGGCAAAAGAGACAGCAGATCAGTGAGAGAGAGAGAGACTGAAGAGGTAGTAAGATGTAAGGGTTAATAATAAACTCTCGTCTCTGTCTCTCCTTCTCCGTCTCTTTATTCCTCCTCCGCTCTCTCGGAGCTCCGGGTCATGGAAGCATATCCCAGTCACAATGAGAACTGTCAACAGGGATGAAAATGGCCTCCCAGCCTCTCTCTCTCACACACACACACACTTTTGCACAGCTTAACCACAAATTTTACATGCTTCTATCTGCGTCTTCTTGTACGATTGCACAAAAAATGGAAAATGTTAGCGATGCTTTGCCCAAAAATCAAATTTGCGCTTATTTCCATCATTATTCCAGACGTAGCCGATCAGCCAAGGCAGGAGTTTGGAGCTGGACTGGAGCTTCGAGGCTGATGTAGCTAACAAGTACTAGAAGCTTACGCCCCACCCATTAGCATTGTGCTAACTGTGCTGCTGAATGAGCAGAAGAACGTTCAGTCTCCCCTGACTGTATACGGCGGTCGTTTCATGAACGTTTTAACTTTTTGTTGCGTAATAATGAACGAAAAGCAGTGTTTAATGCAAAAATGTACAAAACCGTTTCCCAAAAATCAAATTTGCTCAATTTCCATCTTAACTCCAGATGTAGCCGATCAGCCAAGACAGAAGTTTGGAGCTGAGGCTAATGTAGCTAACAAGAAATAGAAGCTTATGACCCACCAGTTAGCACTGTGCTAACTGTGCTGCTGAGTCAGGAGAAGAACGTTCAGTCTCCCCTGACTGTGTACTGCAGTCGTTTCATGAACGTTTTAACTTTTTGTACCATAATAAAGAACATATAGCAGTGTTTAATGCAAAAATGTACAAAAATGTTGCCCAAAAATCACTTTTGCACAAATTTCCATCATTATTCCAGATGTAGCCGATCAGCCTAGACAGAAGTTTGGAGCTGGACTGGAGCTTCGAGGCTAATGTAGCTAACAAGTAATACAAGCTTACACCTCTCCCATTAGCATTGTGCTAGCTGTGCTGCTGAATGAGGAGAGGAACAATCAGTCTCCCATGACTGTGCACTGTTAGAAATAAAGGTTCTGTGCAGGTACATTTCTCGTTCATCAAGGTACAAACAATGTAAATGTTCCCTCAATGGTACAACAGTGGATTTGAGGTCCAACTGTGGACCTTAAATAAGTTTTTCCTAGTGGAAAAATACATATTTCTATCTTTTTATGACCGAATGATTTAAAACAGAACAGCAAAATAAAAGTCCTGGAGACGAGACGGGGTGTGTGGAGTCAGTACAGCTTAGAACACATCATTTCAGTGGACTAAAGGTACTGAGATGAACCCTTGAGGGTCCCACCCCCCTTTTTGCCATATGATAATAAACATATAGCTGTGTTTAATGCAAAAATGTACAAAAAAAAAAATAGAAAATGTCAGCAATGCTTTTCCCAAAAGTCAAATATGCACAATTTCCATCATATCTCCAGATGTAGCCAATTAGCCAAGACAGAAGTTTGGAGCTGGGCCGGAGCTTCGAGGCTAATCTAGCTAACAAGCAATAGAAGCTTATGCTCCACTGATTAGCACTGTGCTAACTGTATGACTAATCATCACACACTCTTCTCAAAGCGTGTGGAGTTGTTCAGTATCACTAATAGACTTGATTACATGGTGTCTGACACTGCATGACTCACTGTTGTCTATAAAAACAGACCAAAGCCAGGCTTTAAGCAGTACACGCAGTCATGTCGGGCCTCTAGCAGCTCAGACGCCCTATGAAATGGCTAATATCACTTTGTTTTTGTTTTTTTACTGCATATAAAACAAGACAAACGTTTGGACAAAATTCAGGCTTCAAGATGCCCATCGCTGTTTTTAGATGATGCATTTTTGTCCATTTTTATAGTTAACAGTACATCATACTAAGGCTGGGCGATGAATCAGATTGTATTTTCAATTACAACTTTGGTTTCCAATGATTATGAAAACAAGATAAACAAGACAAACGGATTATCGTGCACCTTCCGTTTCACAATGATGCTCTTGTTTTTTTTGTGTTATAAATCCAGCGCACCACTTTCCTTTACAGCAGTGCGCTTTCGCCCCTCCCTAAAAGCCCAAAATCATCAAATTTATTTTGGTCTAATTTATTTTTATGTATTAATTTTATATTATTTCTTCAAATGCATATAAATATCTATATATTATAGATATTTACTTCATTCATTTGTTATTTTTCATACTTTTTTTAAATTTGTTTCTTCAGCTGAATTGTTTAGTTGAATTAAGTTCAAGGACATTAAAAATTCAATAAATGCATGATGTTTCCAAAGTCAATGAGTAATCTTCCTAAATAAATCATTTAAATTAAAGTAAATAATCAAGAAGCCCTATGTCATGCAGCAGTGCTCACTAACACCACTAGATCCTGGAAATCTACCCTCCTGTAGAGCACACGTGTCAGGCTCCAGTCCTTGCGGGCCGAAACACTGTAGACTTCAGCACGCTGCCTCATTAAACACACCTGATTCAGCTCATCAGCTGATTAGCAAGACCTTCATGAACTGAATTCAGAGTGTCAGATGAAGGTAAATGCTGATCTCCACAGCACTTTGGCCCAGAAGGTCCCCAGTTCGACATGCCAGCTGTAGAGTCTAGTTCCAGCAACAGTCTATCACACATAATTATCTTCTTCAGAAATCCTTGACTGGCTGGATCAGATGCATTAGTGTTGGGTGAGGAGGCTGGAGGGGCGACAGGTGGAGGGCTGGTGACCGCCGTCAATGAGTGAGTTTACATGTATTTAATAATCCGATCATAATCAGATTTCTGCCGTTATCTGATTATTCAAACGGTCATGTAAACAGCACAGTCTGATTTCTTATATCGGAGTAAGATCTAGAAATCTAATTAAGAAATCTGATCAAGAGGCTGGATTTTAGCTCAGTAATCAGATTTCTCAGTGCATGTGAACTCTTACTCTGATTTCTTTCAGATGTCTCAGTCTGAGCATGTGCGAAAACAGACGGCTGTACCGGAAATAAGTGAGCAGCGTCGCCGCGAGACGCAGCAAAACACTGAGTGACACTGAAACCAAATACATGCAAATACATGTTTTTCACGTTACGTTTATTGGCTGGTTGTAAAGCAGAAATCTGATTACTGTCTGACTCATGTAGACCCAGAGTTTCCCCATTATCTGATTACTCAAGTGCATGTAAATGCGTTGATCAGATTACTGACAAAATCTGATTATCAGATTATTAAGTGCATGTAAACGCACTCCCTGTCAGAAACCAAAGAAACTAAAAGTCCTTTAGAGATTATTTAACAACTTGACTCAGTCTGAGACGAGTGTGTGAGGATTTAGCCTCACATGAGGATTTAGCACAATGCTAACTAGTAGCTTCACAGCTTTAATTTCTAGCCACATTAGCTTCGTAGCTCCATGCTAAAATTAGAGATATAAGTTTCAAACACCAAACATGTCTTGGGCCATCATCTGTATTTGGGGTAAAGGGGGGAAAACTGTACATTTGGAAACTCACCCCATTGTCAGGATAAGTTGTCCAGCCAAGTTCAGAAGTGGACTCAGTGGTGTCCAGCAGCATCACTGTAAGAGAGAAACAGAGACAACACACGTAAGACTACTTAATAAAAATACACACTTAAAAAGATGGTTCTGAAAGGGTTCTTAGTAAAAATGGTTCTATGTAGAACCATGAATACTCAAAGAACCCTTTGCATTAAAGGGTTCTATGCATCATGAAAGGGTTCTTCAGATTGCTGGAGAATGTGCTGTAGATGGTTCTTCAAAGCACTTTTTTTGAAAATGGTTCTATATAGCACGAAAAATGGTTCTTCTACTGTAACAAGCTTGAAATCAATATGATAGAAGAAGAAAAGGTTCTATATAGAACCATCTACAGCACATTCTCCATCAATCTGAAGAACGCTTTCACCATGCAAAGAACCATTTAATGAAGCAAAGGGTTCTCTGAGTATTCATGGTCCTACGTAGAACAATTTTCTTTACTAAAGAACCCTTAAAGAACCATCTTTTTAAGAGTGTAGCAGGGATACGTTATGAGAAGACATTCAGAGAGTTCTCAATCCAGTCTGTCCACACAGGAACACATCACACGCAAAGATTTAAAGTATATAAGAGGCCATATGCCGTATATCAGGGGTGTCAAACTGAACCACTAAAAGGGCCATATTATAAAATCTCAACAAATCCGTGGGCCACGTTTGTTTTTATTTCATTTTTGCCATGACCCGAACTGACCACTGTTTATTCAAAATATGCCAAAACTGCAAGAGCGAAAAATAGGCACTGAATAGTTGAACTATTCAAAAATAATTTGAAATAAAGACAAACTGTTTCATGTAAAGCGATAGGCTACATTAACTACAGATCACTGTTAAACCTCTTTAAATGTCTCTCTGCTAGAGCTAGACACCTGGGGCCGTATTACAGAAACTCCCTATCTTTTTGTCTTAAGTTAAGATCTGACAGGTCAAGATAAGATTATTCACAAATCCGTATTACAGAAGCGAATCTGATCTTAATTTAGGAATCTTGTCTTATCTTACAGCATCTTTTCTTATCTCAAGCTAGGAAATCTTAACTTACTTGATCGAAGTCAACCATCAACTATCATGTCTGTTACCTAGCAACCGACCCTACGCACACAGCTGAAACGTAAACACGTAGCCAAGTTAGTTAGCCAGACAGCTAACGTCAGCTACCGTTACTGAGGGTCAAATAAAAGTAAAGCACAATAAACTGAAATCTGATCAAGAGAGCTGGATTTTAGCTCAGTAATCAGATTTCTCAGTGCATGTAAACTCTTACTCTGATTTCTTTCGGATTTCTCAGTCTGCACATGTGCAAAAACAGACGGCGGCACCGGAAATAAGCGAGCAGCGTCGTTGCGAGACGCAGCAAAACACTTTTGAAACCAAACACGAATAAAGGATTTAAATATTCTTCATCTTCTAGATGATGTATGTTCATATTTTCAGGTAAGGTGGTGCAAGGTTTTTTTTAAAAAAGCCACGGCATGAAGTTTGAGTTTTACATTACGTTTACAAACCCTGTGAGTTTATTGGCCGGTTGCAAAGCAGAAATCTGATTTCTGTCTGACTCATGTAGACCTGGAGTTTCCCCATTATCTGATTATTCAAGTGCATGTAAACGTGTTGATTACTGACAAAATCTGATTTTCTGCAGTTATCGGATTACTAAGTGCGTGTAAACGCACTCAATGTGTTTCTCAAACTTCAAAAACACCTTTGTTCTCCTTATTCGTATCAGACGCTCTGCGATATCAAACTGAAGATCAGTTGAGGGAAGACCATCAGAAAGAGAGAGAGAGAGGAAGAGAGAGAGACAGAGAGAGAGAGGGTAATTTTATACATGGAACCTGTCGCACTGTTTACAAATAAATTATTTCTGAAATTTCCGAGATAAAATTTTAATGTTTCATGTTTATTTAATGTAACATATTTTTCCACATGAGGGGGCTAAGTAGTTGCTCGTCTGAAGCAGACTGGAAACGGCCCAGGACACGTAACGCTCCCTTTCTAATGAACACTGTCTGAGAAAAGGCAGCTGCTGTATGAACTAAAGGGGGAATCACAGAGTAACTCCGTCACGATATGTTTAAGGGTTGGGGGTTTCGGGTTAGTTTGACTTAAATGTGACTTCAAAACAAAAGACTGCATAGTAGCATGTTTGCTGTGCAAAACACTGAGCTTTAAAACAGCACAACTGAGCTGAACGGCAAAAATCAATGTGGTTTAGATCAATCGAAGTTGTGGTAAACAAAAAATGTTCCTAAACTGATACATTTTGTCTTCTCCTGAGCGTCTGTGGATCTTCGGACGCCATTAAGTAGTCAAAATATGAGCAATGCCATCATTCCTGTGTGTTGAAATGACATCACATGAAATAAGTTTAATACAACTCAGACTGTACACACTTAAAAAAGATGCTTCCTTAAGGGTTCTTTAAAAAAGAAAGTGGTTCCACATAGAACCATGAATACTCAAAGGACTCTTTGCATGATTAAAGGGTTCTTTGCATTATGAAAGGGTTCTTTAGATTGATAGAAAATGCATTGTAGACAGTTCTATACAGAACCTTTTTGAAAAGGGCTCTTCTATTGTTACAAGCTTGACATCAAAACACTAGCAGAACCTTTTCTGGTGCTGTATAGAACCCTTTTCAGAAAGGTTCTATATAGAACTGTCTCCAGCACATTCTCAATCAATCTGAAGAACTCTTTCAACATGCAAAGGGTTTTTGAGTGTTCATTTATAGAACAACTTTCATGCTCAAATTGTTCTTTGCATGGTGAAATGGTTTTTCAGACTGATGGAGAATGTGTTGTAGATGGTTTTATGTAGAACCTTTTTTAAAAATGGTTCTATATAGCACCAAAAAGCGTTCTTTTATTCTATCAAGCTTGACATCGTAACAATAGCAGAAAGCTTTTTGGTGCTATATAGAACCTTTTTCAAAAAAGTTGTATATAGAACCATGTATGGCACATACTCCATCAATCTGAAGGTATTATATGTATATGGAACCTTTTTTTTTTGATAAAAGAACCTATGAAGAACCATCTTTCTTAAGAGTGTATGCAAAAAACTAAACCATAAAATGGTTTCGTATGGAACTAATTGTTCTAAACAGAATCATTGTCTTTACTAAAGAATTCTTGAAGAACCATCTTTCTTAAGAGTGTAAGGCTTATTTTTCAGTAATTATAAGAAAAGCTGAGTTATTCCTTCTAAAATGTTTAAAATATCTTCAATAATCTAAAATATATTACTATAAGTTATAGGAGAGAGGAATGTAGTTCTTCTATGAGTTTACGAGGTATGAGTTTTGTCATAACTGTTATACCAGGATGGCACTAGTAAGTGCAGATATTGCGATGTAATATCTGCCAAGCTAACATTAACTTGTTTGTCAGAAAGGCTGGGACAGGGATGTTTGTCATGTTTTAAATGAAAATGAAAATGCAGCTGTCCCTCCATCACCACCTGCTGACTGGACAGTTGCAACTAAAGTTGCACCTTTTACACACACTCACATACATGCAGGGGCGCAGGAACCAGAGTGGCAAGCGGGCATTTGACCAACTACTTTTCAGAGTACTGTGGCGACACCCTACAACTTTTTGAGTTAAAGATGCACATAAAAACTCTGCTTTACCCCGAACTGCATGAAGTGCTGACCGGCACGAACGGAGTGAAACTGAGGGGCAGAGCCAATCAGAATCTTTATTTCAGCAGGCAGGCGCTTTCAGACCTGACCTGCCTTGAATGGTGGGGACTGTCCAACTTTTTCTGTAGTTCAGTTTAAATTTGACTCCACCCGAATTGATGATACGTGTTAGATTTTGGCACATGGACCACGGAGCATGTTTTTGGCCGAGCATCAGCGACCTGATCGGTTAACTTTAAACTGGTATACACGAAGATGATAAACGTCTCTGTTTTTTTTTTTCTGTTTTTATTGAGGTGAAAGTGAGAGTAACAGAGCACTTGCATCCCTGCAAAACTTCTGATAAAAAAAAAACACCCCTTTAGCCCTTACAGTCCACAATCCGAACCAAAGAGATACAATATCACAAAAAACAAACTTGACCTGGTTATGAAAACAGCCTGATGTTCTTCAGAGATGTTAGCTAACAAATACTGCTATCTGAGGCTGCAGCTACTGAAGCAGCATCAAAACTAACACAGTCACTGTTCATGATCAGGTTCAGAGCTGGGGAGAGGAATAAAAGAATTGATACTTGCATAAAATAATTACACAAGAAAAAATGACCTTCCCCAAAACAACTTGAGTAGAAATACAGGTCGAAAATCTACTTAAGTACTTCTACTCAGTTCTTACTATATCCAGCATTGATCAGCATAGGAACTTTAGATTGTGCAGCTCCGTTCTTTTCTTTTTGGGATTCTTTTGGTGTAAAATACAAAGATTCAAAGTCAGAGATGTAACCAATCCCTAAAGCAGTAAAAAATTGCCACCATCAAAACAAACTGAAATTAAACACCAAAAAATTAAATAAGTATCTAAATACGAATGGCTAAAATGTAACTGAGTAAAAAGATTCCTTTACTCACTTCAGTAGAAATATTATGATTTGAAAATACTCAGGAGAGTAAAAATCCATCAATATTTTACTGAAAGACGTACTTGAGTAAATGTAACTAGTTACTACCCACTTCTGAGTATGTTTATAAAGACAGTCATTAGCATGACATGAAAGGCAATTTTAGTCAATCTGCATTTCGTCACTTTTTTTTGAAACAATATGTTTAATCATTGCATACATGCAATGATTAAAGGAACAGTTTAGCCAAAAATGCTAACGTGAGTGCAGGAACCCTAGTGTTAGCATGATCGTGCACTGATGGCTTCACTCAAACTCAAACACATTAATTAATAAACCAAGTCAAGTGCACTTGACACACTTTGCGCTATTCTGACTCTCACTGAAGCACTTTGAGACTGGAACACACACACACACACACACACACACACACACACACACACACACACACTGTTTTAATTCTGCCTTATTCCTT